AAGTAATATTATGCTTACTGGCCAGAAATAACTGTCATTTATTTAATAAGAGGTCAGAGACGTGCCTGGCACACACGGACACTTAGCAACTGGAAAACTGCAGTTATTACTGCCATTGTCGCCATCATGATCTTCCATCGCTCCACTCCTCCTTCCCCACTGTCGTGTATTAAGGCCAAGACAGTGAGTGGATTTGCTCATTCTCTTTCTCTCTTTGGCAAGGGGTAGGAAAAGGGGCAATGAGGGACCATGGGTTGGCACAGTTTCCCCAGTGTCAGATTCCTGGGGAGATTTTGCTTCTTGTTTTAATACAGATGTTAAACTCCACTCTTCCCTCACCTCTCCCCTTTTATCTGTTGCATTTTGCCGCTGGACCTTGGCATTTATGCACACCATGCTCATCCTGTGTGAATAAACCCTCTGATCTCGGGTTGTCACATACTTTCTGACCTTGAGAGTGTCTGCATCATCCTTGTGCACTGGGGTGTGGAATACTCTGTCCTTTTGGGCTTTTTATGGCAGTGTCCAAGGACACTGTTCAGCATTCACCCCTTCTTCCTTCTTCCTCCATGTACTGCTCCTGATGAAAGGTGCTCCCCTCTTCCTGAACCCTGCAGTCCTCTTCCCTGACGCCTTTCTGAGAACATCACTGCTCTGTGCTTTCTGAGCCTCATCCTCTCCTGTGCTCTTTCAGGTCTAAGGCTTCAGGATACTGCAGGCACTACTCTGGAAGAGGTGGGTGAAGAGCACTGGTGGTTCCTCTACTGTAGCTTGTGAGGTTCAATTAAGTGCGTGGTGGAGTAAATGGAGCACAGAGTTACTTGCTGGAAGGTATTCTTCCCGGGATGGAACTGTCTCTATTTGTTCCTAGTGCTGGGGATGGTGGTGAGGGGTTTGCTGCTGCAATGGATGTTCATGTCTGGAACACCAAGATGAACTTAACCTAGGAGAGTAAATTTATTCTGCTTTAAATAATCACATCAGTTTCCTTAGCCAGGCATGGTGGCTTGCACCTGTAGTCTCAGCTATGTGGGAGGCTGAGGCAGAATGATCGCTTGAGGCCAGGATTTTGAGACCAACCTGGGCAACGTAATGAGACCCCATCTCTTTAAGAAAAAAAGTCCCATCATTTTCCCTAAAGTTGGTATAGATAAGGGTGATTTGAAATCTCTGCTGACTTGCTAGATGTGGGACAAAGAGCTAATTGGTCCCTTGAAATATGACTGTATGGCATGTGGCCGTGTAAAAATCTACCAGTATTTCACTATCCTCTTATATCTTCTGAAAAAATAAACTTCTGGTGGTCTCAAGGTAGAAGTCCACTGTGGCTCCTTCAGGCAGATTTTATTTTTAGGTGTGTTTATTTTCACTCTGGGTTTTTTGCAGATTTGGGAAAGATGATGGGTGGCAGTGGCTAAATCACAGTGTAAAAGGCTGATGGATTTGGCTACACAAACATGATGACAACTCTGGCAGCTCAAAAGGTCATCCCCCAAATTCAGAAACAAAAAGTGGGGATAAAATGTTTGCATCAAATACAACAAAGATTTAAAGGATTACTATCCTTAAAATAAAGATCTGTAAACGTTATAGAAAATAGGCAAAAGACATAAGGGGATAAACCACAAAAGAGGCTCTGTGGTTGCCAGCAGACATGAAAAACTCATGAATCAATGCATAGCAACATATCTGAAAAATTACCCACTTGCACAGATTTTATATACGTATATATTTATATATAAAAATACATATATTTATATATAAATGTCTATGTTTATATATTTATATATAAATATATGTCTATATATGTTTATATATTTATTTATATATAAATATATGTCTATATATGTTTATATATATTTATTTATAAATAAATATATATTTTTTTTTGAGACGGAGTCTCGCTCTGTCACCCAGGCTGGAGTGCAGTGGCACAATCTTGGCTCACTGCAAGCTCCGCCTCCTGGGTTCACACCATTCTTCTGCGTCAGCCTCCCCAGTAGCTGGGACTACAGGTGCCCGCCACCATGCCTGGCTAATTTTTTGTGTTTTTAGTAGAGATGTGGGGTTTCACCATGTTAGACAGGATGGTCTCAATCTCCTGACCTCGTGATCTGCCTGCCTCAGCCTCCCAAAGTGCTGGGATTACAGTCATGAGCCACCACGCCTGGCCTGCACAGATTTTATGTATTGAGGACTATCAAACTTTGTAGTGTCGTAGTGATCCCTGCAGTAGAGTTTCATATCCTTATTAAACAGCAGAGTTGTGATGGATGAGTTAGGACCTGTATGTGGTGGGGGCTGTGGCAGAGTGGTGGGACCCCTGAGGTGGTCCGGATGTGGCATTTTAGGCTTTTCATTCATTTCTGGATGCTGTAAACATCACTTTTTCCTCCAGTTTTTACTGTTAATGATAAGAAGTCTGATGTTAATACTATCTTTCCCTTGTCTGTAAGCTGCTTGTATTTGTATGTTTTTGGTTTTTTTATGACAAGAAGTTTCAAGATTTTTTTTTTTTTTTTAAATGGAGTCTCGCTGTGTTTTCTAGGCTGGAGTGTAATGGTGCAATCTCGGCTCACTGCAACCTCTACCTCCCAGGTTCAAGCGATACTCCTGCCTCATTTTGTTGAGTAGCTGGGCTTACAGGCACCCGCCACCATGCCTGGCCAATTTTTATATTTTTAGTAGAGGCAGGGTTTCACCATGCTGGCCAGGCTGGTCTTGAACTTCCGACCTCAGGTGATCCGCCCACCTTGACCTCCCAAAGTGCTGGAATTACAGGCGTGAGCCACCACACCTGGCCAGAAAATTCTTTTTATAATGACCAAGCTGGAGTAAGTCCCACAGACGTGCTTCTGTGTGGGCTTCGCTATATGCATGTTCCTGCTCCTCTAACTGCCAAGTGTATCCCTTGGAGGACCTGATCTTGTCCTTAGAATCAACATGGCACATCTGGGATGCCATCCTCGGGAGAAGGGAAGTGTCTTTAAACGAAGATTTCACAATCTCAGCCCTCCTGCAATCTTGGTGTGGGATCTGTCCTGTGCATTGTAGGATGTTCAGCGGCACCCCTGGCTTCTACGTACTAGATGTTAATAGCTCTCCCCCAGTTGTGATGGCCGAAGACATCCCCAGACATTGCCAGATGGCCCCTGCAGGGCAAAATTACTCTGGATTGAGAACCACTGCTTTAAATGAATATGGATAGCATGCGAATGAAAATGCAAAATGTGCATGAATATGCAAACGAGAATGACCACCCCGGAAGAATTTGATGTGTGTTCCTAGCTCTCTATATTTCACTTATGGAACTTCATGTTCTGGCAGTGGTTTCTTTTGTTTTCCTTTTTGGCCTTCTGATTGCTGAACTCTAAAATTTGTGTAATTCTTTCTCTTTTATTTCTTTACATTTCATTTTTCCCCTGGCTCATCCAAAGTATTTATTGAACGAAGTATCCTATGAAGAGTTCCTTGAACAGCAAGTTCTGTACTTGTATTTCCAAACTACTTGCAGGCCTGTCCTCACGTTTGCAGGACAGCTTGGTTGAATTCTTTATTCCTGGTGGGAGGATAATTGGTGGTAAGATCTGATGCCACCCTAATTGGAGTACCAGAGGATGCACTCTGCCCTTCCCACCCTTACCTGTTTGCATTATTTTTTTCTTTATAAAAATTCAGGTATAGGCCAGGCGCGGTGGCTCAAGCCTGTAATCCCAACACTTTGGGAGGCCGAGACGGGCGGATCACGAGGTGGGGGGATCGCGACCATCCTGGCTAACACGGTGAAACCCCGTCTCTACTAAAAAAATACAAAAAACTAGCCGAGCGAGGTGGCGGGCGCCTGTAGTCCCAGCTACTCGGGAGGCTAAGGCAGGAGAATGGCGTGAACCCGGGAGGCGGAGCTTGCACTGAGCCGAGATCGTGCCACTGCACTCCAGCTTGGGCGACAGAGTGAGACTCCGTCTCAAAAAAAAAAAAAAAATATATATATATATATATACACACACACTTCAGATATAGCTAGGCATGTTTCCTTGTATGTATGCCATTCCTTGGAGGGATCCTCTGTGCCCTCTCCTTTTTTTTTTCCTTTTGAGACTGATTCTCACTCACTGTGTCACCCAGGCTAGAGTGCAGTGGCGCGATCTCAGCTCACTGCAACTTCCACCTCCCAGGTTCAAGTGATTCTTCTGCCTCAGCCTCTCGTAGCTGGGATTACAGGCATGCACCACCACTCCTGGCTAATTTTTTTTCTTTTTTTTTTTAGTAGAGACGGGGTTTCACTATGTTGGCCAGGCTGGTCTCAAACTCCTGACCTCAAGTGATCCACCTACCTCCCAAAATTTTAGCCTCTCAAAGTGCTGGGAGTACAGGCGTGAGCCACTGCACCCGGCAACCTCTTCTTTTTACTGCTTTTGAGTATCTTACCCTGCTTTTAATTGGGCACATGTAGGGAATTTAGAATTATTTTAATGCCCGTCTAATCATGGTTAATTGGCTGTATCTGCATTGTCCAGTATAGTAGCCACAGACTACAAGTAGCTATCTTAAATTTCAATTAAAATTAGATACAATTAAAATTCACTTACTCATTTGCACTAAGCGCATTTCAGGTTCTCAGTAGCCACATGACTGTTGGACAGGACAGATATATAACATCTCCCTCAGTGCAGAAAGTTCTATTAGGTAATGCTGGGTTATGAGATATAAACCATATGCATATCAAAGAAGTACCTTAGCTATTTTTTTCTCCGTAGTATTGTGATATTTTTGATAATTTGGTTTAGTGGTCCCCGTCTCTAGTGGGCAATTCAGAATCAGTGGGTGACTATAAATGAAGAAGGAGTGGGTACCTGAAAACCGTATTTAGGTAAAGTATTTTTTGGCTACTTGGGGATAATGTGTAGTATGACTTTTTTTCTGTGCAAGAAACTCAGTGACGGCATGGCCTGTGTTGTTTTCATGCTTTGGGGTGATTTGGCTGTGCTCTTCTTTTCTAGGTGCTAAGAGATGCCGTTTGCGGGCCCCATCTCTGCCTGAGAATCGGGGGCTCCAGGCACTAGAAGACCCGGCTGATCCTGGGCTTCTTGCTTAAATAAGGCTTCAGTTCAGCTGCTCTCCAACAGCTCTGCAAACTACTCACTTCTCTTAATGATGGGTATTGGTAAGAATACCACATCCAAATCAATGGAGGCTGGAAGTTCAACGGAAGGCAAATACGAAGATGAGGCAAAGCACCCTGCTTTCTTCACTCTTCCGGTAATCATATTCTCTGTCTTTCTTAAATCTCTTGAAAGTAGTTTCCGTATGAAATCGACATAGGATTGGCTTTAATGCTTATGTTTTCAGTGAAGGTTAAGGCATTTGCAAACCAAATACTTTATATGTGAGATAGTCTTTGGGCTAACTCTTGGGTTTTAGCTGTGCTCTCAGCCTGGAGTCATCTGCTGGGATTAACTCCGGGAAGGAAGCATGCATTGCTGTTAACATTTTAAATCTAGCCCATTGCTACCTGTGTCCTGGAGGATGTTGAAGGCTTAATTTTATCTTCAAAAATGTACTCTTAGGAAATAATGTGCAACCCAACATCACACTCATATTGCAAGCTGGGAGGATGAATGACTTACTGCTTGGAACCCCACTGTCCATATGTATTACAGTAGCAGTGTCCAGCATGGAGATGGTTTTATCCGAATAAGTGATAGCAGTCAGATAAGGCAGACTATACACATTCATTTATATTCAGTAAGAACATTTTTTCCCAGATATAGGATGATGATTTGTATAAAGTTAACTATAATATGTTGTTTTAAAAACAGAAAAATGCTCTTTAGAGTGATCTTGCCTCAAGATGTTTTCCTCTTAATATTGGAGATGTGGTTAATGGCAAGTATAGTATTCTAGGATTTTTTTCTTTTTTTTTTTTGTTTTCTCTTTTTTTGAGGCAAGGTCTCGCTCTGTTGCCCAGGCTGGAGTGCAGTGGCGCCCTTAAAGCTCACTGCAGCCTTGACTTCCCAGGCTTAAACTATCTTCCCATCTCAGTCTCCCAAGTAGCTGGGACTATAGGTGTGTGCAGCCTGTAGTCTACTACAGCTGGCTAATTTTTTATACTTTTTGTGGAGATGGGGTCTCGCTGTGTTGCGTAGGCTGGTCTTGAACTTCTGGGCTCAAGCGATCCTCTTGCCTCAGCCTCCTAAAGCACTGGGATTATAAGCATGAGCCACCACGCCTGGTTTCAAGATTAGTTATTGTTATCAATGTTGTGTCTGAAACTATTGGCATGCCCCATGGCCTAATGATAAAAGGAATCAACAGTAAGACATTTGAGGGAAGATGGATCTACAGAGGTGTCAGGATTATTTTTTAAGACTGGATCTCACTGTGTTGCCCAGGTTGGAGTGCAGTGGCACAATTAAGGCTCAGGCCTCCTGGGCTCAGGCAGTCCTCCCACCACAGCCTCCCAAGTAGCTGGGACCACAGATGCCTGCCACCATGCTCAGCTAATATTTTTTATTACTTCTGTAGAGACAGGGTTGTTGCCCAGACTGGTCTTGAACTTAAGAGCTTGAGCTCAAGCAATCCTCCTGCCTTGGAGATTGAGTCTCACTCTTGCCTACACTGGAGGGCAGTGGTGCAATCATAATGCAGCTTTGAATTCCAGGGCTCAAGCCATCTGACTCAGACTGTCGAGTAGCTGGGATTATGGATGCACGCTACCAACCCTGGCTTGAACACGGTATCTTTTTTTTTTTTTTTTGGGGAGACAAAGTCTTGCTCTGTCATCCAGGCTGGAGTGCAGTGGCGCCATCTCAGTTCACTGCAGCCTCCACCTCCCGGGTTCAAGTGATTCTTCTGCCTCAGCCTCTCGTAGCTGGGATTACAGGCATGCACCACCACTCCTGGCTAATTTTTTTTTTTTTTTTTTAGTAGAGACGGGGTTTCACTATGTTGGCCAGGCTGGTCTCAAACTCCTGACCTCAAGTGATCCACCTACCTCCCAAAATTTTAGGTGCGTATGAGGATTATAGCGCGTGAGCCACCATGCCTGGCCGAACATGCATTCTTTTAAGACCATTCCCTGACTACTTTCATCCCACACTGTATTTATTTGTTTTACTTCTTTAATTGTTATTGCTCAGCAGAAGGGTGTTAATTGACAAACTGCGCCTTACTATTTTTCATTTTTTCCTTAAATGAAAAATTTTGAGAACTGAATCTTCTTCCGAGTTGAACGCTAGGGTTGACACAGGTTTTCTAGGGGGAAGAGGCCTCCAGTCAGTTGTTCAAGAATTAAATTACATGCTACTTGAAAAGTGGAATGGGGAAGGTCTCATGCATGGGGGTTTGCTCGCTCTTTTGCTGGGCTTTATTTTGCTCTTACAGCCCAGGAGATGATCTTCACTCTCACTTCCCTTCACTTTGGGGGACAAGAACTTGACGACATCTCTCAACCACCTGCCTTGTCATTATTCCACGAATGTAGATTTACTGTATTCTAGGTTAAGCTTGTAGATTTTATCATTAGCGAGTTGAATTCGTCATTGTATGTGTCAGCTTACTCATTCCTTGTTTTTTTTGTGTCTTTTTCTTCCCTTTTAGTTTGCTTTGTCATTTAAGAGTACATCCGACTAGTCTGGTCCACCTCTTAGTCTTTGTACATCTGGAAATAATGTGTAGTTTGCCCTCCACTGATTATACGGACTTCGTGAATGATACACACCAACCTCTCCGCCTGCTCCTCAGTTTCTTTTTAGCCCTGCTTCACTAATGATTTTAGGTGCCTCTTCGCAGCACTGCCTGTCTGGATGATCCTTCAGTATTTCCAGTTTACTATTTTT